GGAGGGGCGGTGGCAGGTCTCGCTGGGAGGCAGGATGCCGCTGGGCGGTGGGGGAAGGCGCGCACCCTGCCAGAAGGCCCCAAACCTCCCACACTTTCCTGCCTGAAAGGGAAGTTGGGGTTTGAAGTTTCTCGTCAGATGTAGAGCATTCCGCCCTCAGGGACAAGACGGAGGGAGCCCGGCCCTGACGCCAGGTTTTAGACAGCTGATCCGCAAGGAGTTGCCAGGGTTTTCTGAGACTGTAAAGACCAGTTGAAGACACGGGCGACTCTTGTGGTTGCCTCTTCATCAGAGGTGTGGAATTTCAATGCAAGTCGGTCTGGCCTCAATACAAACCATATGGTGTGAAATAGAAACCCCAGCTGATTTGGGAGCTGAGGGCCAGAAAGGGGAGAGAAGTCGCCTCCTGTGTGGCTTTAACCACATGAGGCTGTGACTGGCAGGTAACCTGGCAAGGGGACACTGAGCACGCTAATGGCAGCAGAGAGTTAGGAAGCAATTGTGGACCTTGGAAAAATAGTTTTCTCTGGTAAAGAAATGTATTGATAAACTGCATTAAAGGTGAGATCATTTGAACGGCTTTTTAAAATTAATGCTTTTGTCTTGCGTTATTTTTCAAGCAACTTTTGAAGACTGAAGAGAACAGCTGGTCCCTGGCAGAGCTGATCCACGCAGTCGTTCTCCTTACGCACTACCACTCCCTTGCTTCCTTCACCTTTGGTTGTGGCATCAGCCCGGAGATCGACTGCGAAGGGGGTCACACCTTCAGGCCCCCTTCCGTCAGTAACTATTGCATATGCGATATTACGAATGGTTACCACGGGGTGGATGAAATTCATGCCAGCCCAACTGGAAGTGTTCCAGTAAGTATCTGTCTGAACAAACAATCTCTTTCAATAGCAGTAGTTTTTTTGTTAACTTAATACATGGAGGGTGCCCATCTCTTTTCGTTCAGTGAGGGTGGGGTTGATTAGCCTAATCCAGTTGAGGGCTAACCATCTGAAAAGACACATTTAGGAGAAGCTGAAATTACACAGGTAAGCTGAGGGAAGTTACTAAAGGGAGAGACAAAGATACAATCTCTCCGTTGTCCATTTTTTTAGTCTCTTGTCTTTCATATACGCAAACTGAGATGACTCCTGGCCCCAGCTAGTTCATGATACGTGTCCTGAGCAGCAGTGGTCAGGAACACTTTTTTTTGTGGGTGCAGTGGAAAGATGGCTCTTCCTTTGATTCCAGTCTTTGCCTTTGTTGCCTTGAGGTGTTTCTGATACATTACGCAACAGATCATTCACAATTTTCCGACTCTGTCTCTAAAACAGTTATTTCCTGCCTGCAGCGCTTATGCTCACTGATCTGTACTTGCTTCCACTTAGTAAAAAGCATGATGTGAACTAAGCTGGTTTAAGAACAGTGATAACAGGGTATTTTCAATGCGGGTTCTTTTACTGCAACAGTGTGGGTGGCATTTAAATTTTGTTTGATGGAGCTTGCTGCTTCTCTGAAGGTACAAACTGAATGCAAAAGGCAGAGAGGAAAAGGGCAGAACTGTATAAATTGAAGATAACTTTATTTTCCTTTGTGCTGATGGACTTTTACAAGACCAGATACTGAATTAATAGTGTTGTGGTGTTAAAATAGCTCTCGTGAAATAAGATTATCTTGCGCTAGCTTTCCTTTGAGGCTTCATTAAATCTGCATTTACATTCGCTCTTCCTTTTTCCTTCAGTATGTTTCTTCTCTGTGAGCAGAGAAGGGGAAAAATACAGTTGGGTAGTAAATTGCGGTTACTTCCTCTATCAGAATTTCTGTTACAGCGCCTTGTTTTTCAGTTGTTAAACATTTACATTAAGTAAAAGAAATTACTTCAATTTTAGTGTAAAAACCACTTGTTCCAAAAAGCTGTGATTCTTAAAATATGTGATTCTAAAAATACCAGGGATCTAACTGAGAAAAGATGATTAAATATTGAACTGTTGGGTCAGTACAGGTTTCTTTCAAGAACTGTTTTCCTCAAAAAATCAGTATTTAAAGCTGTAAATGAAGGACATAGCTCACATTTAGATTTTCTGGCTTGACATTTCTGCCATCACTGACAGTTCTTGGTACATGGAAATGAAATGTTTTTCTCTCCTTCTCAAGTCTATGGAGTCCGTCTGTGAAGTTGAAGCTCTTATGGAGAAAATGAAGCAGCTACAGGAGTGTAGAGACGAAGAGGAAGCCAGCCAGGAAGAGATGGCCACACGTTTTGAGAGAGAGAAGCGAGAAAGCATGTTCGTGTGTTCTTCAGGTAGAACAGATGTAGAGTGTATCTATATTTGTTTAGACATTTCCAAATCACTTGAAAAAATACTTACTGCTGCTGCAAAAGGTGGTGGGGGGGAAAGTGTTATTAGATGTCTCAAAAACATTACTGTTTCTTTGATGGGATCAAGATTAGGGGTGCCTCATTTCCTTCCAGGAACACTTAAAAACAAAGTAGTGCCACGATTTGTGGCTTCTCTCAAACACACTGTAACACCATAATATTATGTTTAATAGACATTTCCAACAGAAATGGAATCCCGAGAGAGAGATTTAAAAGTTTCACAAGAGATTTAAGCATCTCACAAGACATTGTAAAAAGAAGTCCTTAACACGCTTAGCTATTTACGTGTATGAAACACTACTTTCCAGATTAACAGTGAGATAATTGTTACAAGCTTAGGGTTGTTGTGGGCTCTTCAACAGAGTTTCCTCTATAATAAACTTGGCATGGAAGTCTTGGAGGTCTCACTTTTTAATAAGCTCTCTGTTCCAAAGCAGATTTTCCCTTGACATTTTTTAAGACCTCTTGAGTTGGGAGCAGAGTGTCCCCTAGACTTGGGAGAGAGAGCGAAGGGTGGTACATCACAGAAGGCAGAAAAAGAAGTTTGCCTGTAAGAAAGAATCTGAGTGTTTTTCATGGAGTTGCCTCTAAAAAACCATAGCTGCAGTCACACTGAGCTGTACCAAAGAATTTTAATACGGGTAGTCCAGTGAAACTGTGTGTTTATTTAAAAAGCACAGAGGCTCCCATTCTTCTGTAGCAGTTCCACTAGCACACTTCCAGTTTGTTCTTACCAAATTGTGTTTGAAATTAACAGAAGATGAAGAATCGGCACCAACAAGAGACGTGTCTCGTCACTTTGAGGATACCAGCTATGGTTACAAAGACTTCTCCAGGCATGGAATGCACGTGCCCACCTTTCGTGTCCAGGTAACAAGCATGGGGGCTGCTGTCAGGAGCCTGAGCGCGCAGTCTGTCTGTTGTGCCAAACGCCAAACCTGGACATTGCTGTGCTGTAACCTGAGATGAATTACGTTAAAGCACTGGGTCTTCACAAAATTCTTTTCTGAAATGCTCCGTTCTGCATTTTTACTTATTCTAAGGATTATTCCTGGGAAGACCATGGCTATTCCTTGGTGAATCGTCTTTACCCAGATGTGGGACAACTACTTGATGAGAAGTTTCATATTGCTTATAATCTGACTTACAACACAATGGCCATGCACAAAGACGTGGATACCTCAATGCTAAGACGCGCTATTTGGAACTATATTCATTGTATGTTTGGAATAAGGTCAGTTTTAGTACTTTTGTTCTATATACATAGGACTTGTTTAGCATCAGCTTTTTTTTTTTTTTTTTGTTCTTGCTCAGATTGAAGCAAAGCTATTTATTAAACAAACGTGTGTTTTTAAACATATTTTTATTTATGGGGAAGGGCCAGTAGAGGTACAAATTACACAATAATTTATTCTGTCACAGGAACTTACAAACAAAGCAAGTGAAATAACGGGTTCTTGAAAATGAAAGTGTTTTTCTTTCCATTCCGAACAGATACGATGATTATGACTATGGTGAAATTAATCAGTTGTTGGACCGCAGCTTTAAAGTTTATATCAAGACTGTGGTTTGCACTCCTGAGAAGACCACAAAAAGAATGTATGATAGCTTCTGGAGGCAGTTTGAACACTCTGAGAAGGTACAGTTTGCATACGTTCTGAGGGACACGGGCGGTAAATCCCTTTGCCACGCTAACAGCCGCAGCTACCCAGCCGGTGTTTCAGCTTTAGCTGATGTTCCCGGGATTCTGGTCCCATTTAGTA